GGGGATCCGGGTCGCGCGGTCCATACGATTGCGACGAAGCCCAAAGAGTCACCCATCCGCACTAGACCGGGACTCTATAGGGCTCCGCCACTACCCCTAAACCCACCTCTCGCTCGACCAGAGCCTGCGCAGAGAAATCTTGCGCTCTGGCCGAGTGATTCAGTACGTACTGTATTATTTGGCCCGCAGGCCCCATATCAGTCCATTTCCATGGGGGTCGCAAGCCCAACAATCTCAACGCTTGTGTCAGGCACAGCGTCTGCAACATCACAACTCGTAGGCGCCTCCATTGTCGACGCCTCGGCCGGAGCCGATACGTCCACCGCGGCTGCCGCCACGAGAGCCGCCGGTGCCATTGCTGCTGGATATACCACCAGCGGCAAGAAGGGTAACAGCCGCTGCCTTGAAACTTCGTATCTAGGGGTTTTCGAGGTCAGTCATTACAAATCAAAAATCAAAATTACGAAAAACAAAATGGCGAATTCAATATGGACGCTCAGTATTAAAAAAAAGCAAAACAAGAAGCTGAACAAAATATGAAAGAATTCTTATATTTAGCTGAAAATTTGTACAAAGTGGTTTTCGAGGTTACAAATTAAAGACAAAATTTCGAAACAAATAATTAATTACGTTTATTAAATTACTTCTTGTTCCACTCAAATTACTTTTCAGTGCAATGAATATTTGCTTCTTTGATAGAGTAATTTCTTCAGAAACTGAAATATAAATGTACATGTACATATTAGACTAAACTATATTTTAAACAAGTTTAATCTTTCCAGCAACAATGTAATTATAGACGCACGCGCAAACATATCAATACATCTTTTGTTCATAATGTTAAATTCTATAGACTGATTTATATTATACTTTTTTTAACAATATTTATAGTAATCCTGTGGCGCCCATATCAATATTTATAAAAAGTTATGAAAAAACTGATGCTGAATATTCTTAAACTCAACGTTTATTTGTTTAATTATACTTCGGTATTATGTGCCCGGGGGTCACGTATACTTGAATGTTGGCCTCTCCCCTATTTATAATTTCTATGCAGGTATGAAAAAAAGAAGACCAAAATAGTGAGCAAATGACTAATTGTATGAAAGGGAGAAAGAGAGAAAGAGAGAGGCGAACACGCATGAATCAGCGACAAACACAAGTATTTACATTTTCAAACGTTCATTAAGACTCGAGGGGCAGATATGGGCAGCAATTTTTTGTTAATTCTGATGCATTGCAATCTTAACTAAATATGACAATTGGTTTTTTTAACCCAACTCCGTCTAACTCATAAACTTTTCCCTTTTTTTACAAATACCGAGGTCGTCACTTATTTGAATTTTTATTAAAAAGCATTATTCAATTGATGTATTATACTTTGTAAGTGTTGATCTTGTACTATGTCTATGAATTCTACTTACCTTTAGCTGTGTTTTCCACTTTGCAGAATCAAAATTGATGCACTGGGGACTGAGTTACAAATTTTTCTAATAAAGTATATTTTTGCTCAATTTGCGCGCTAGGTGTTGCTCGAACGAATTTCAATTTCCTACTGAAATATCAATGCAGGTAGATGAACTAGGCAACTGTACCTTTTGTAATTGAACTCAAAAACTATCAGTGTACCCAACCCAATAGTTAAAGGGTAAAAATTGAATACTTCATTTTTTTACTTTTGGCCAGCTTTTTGCGATTTGGGACCACTGTGCGACGTCTCCCGAATATTACCGGTCCTAACATCGGTCGGGCTACAACCTCCCGCCGACGCGATTGCGCTCACCACCTCTAGGGTAGTGATGGAGGGCATAAGACCTCGCACCCGCAAATCGGCCATCTTCGTGGGACGTGTGACCCGCACGCCCGTGCCTTCCAGCGCCTCCGTC